GACTCATGGTGACCCTATGCACAACAGAACAAAACACTGCCCTGTCCTGGGCCAACCTCACAATTTGTGCCATGCTTGAGCCCATTGATGCTGCCATATTGCTAATCCATCTCTCAGGGGGCCTTCCTTTTTGTCTCTGACCCTCCACCTTAGAACACCCAATTTTTAAACTAGACACATGATTACCTAGAAAAAGACTACATTGCCAGTCTCCTTGGTGGCTAGATACAGCAAGTGACTGGATTCAGGACCATTAAAATATTTTCGAAGTATTAAAAGGTAGCTTCCCAGAAGCCTTCTTAAAAAGAATAATAAGTACATGTTAGTGACCCCTTCTTAATCTCTTCCCTCATCTGACTACAACTTGAATGTGTTGGCTGGAGCTCCCATACTGGAGTACAAGGCAGAGGTTCACACCATAGGAATGAAGTACTAACCTTGAAGGGGATCCTGGTGTGGTGCATAGGATAAGCACTAGACTGCTAACCATAATTTGGTGGTTCAAACCCATCAGCTGCTCCTTGGATACCCTATACAGGGTTGCTGTGAGTTGGAACAGACTCACTGGCACTTAACATCAACATCAACAAACTTGAAGGGGAGCGCTGTAGTATAAACACTATACTGCTATCGACAAGGCTGGCAATTGAAACCCCTCAGCGGCTCCCCAGGAGAAAGATGAGGCTTTCTGCTCCTCTAAAAATACACAGTTTCAAAAACCCTATACAGGGTTACTATAAGTCAGAAACAACTCAATGGCAAAACACTTGAAGGAGTTTACCTGCCTTTACATCCTGACTTCATTTATAGGAGAGAGACAATTATTTATTGCTCAAGCCATTTTGTTTTTTGGTTGTTTTTTTGTTTTTTGTTTTTTGTTTTTTTTTTTTTTTTTGCACTTATCACAATCTGAAATCACCTTTTGTAATTATTTGTTTACATATATATATATCTGCCTTCTGACTAGTATACTAGCTTCATGAGGGCAGGGACTTTGTCTGTTTTGCTTACGATCCTTTCCAAAGTATCTACCACAATAGTAGGCAATCAATGAATATTAAGCAAACAAAAGTGTCTATTCAGGACAGCATATAGAATACATATTTAAGTCAAAGAGGGATGTAACAGAGGGGCTTTTTAACAATAGTGTTGCCTGAAAAAAAAAAAGTAGGGCTGAAAGAGCATAAAGGAAAAGGAATATGGTTGTAATTGCAAAAGAAGTTGTGGCCCACGTGTTAGGAAGCAGCTCCTCTCTCAGCATTAAAGGCTGTGAATCCACACAATTCTGGATTGCTGAGGGTAGTAACTGCTGCTGCTGCTGTTCAAAACATACCACTGATACTGAACAGGAACCATCACAAGTGCCTACAGTTGCGCTGTCCTCCTGATCTAGTGGTTATAACAGAAATACCACAAGCAGGGGGCTGTAACAAACAGGAATTTACTTTCTCAGTTATTGCTGTTAGCGCTGTTGAGTCAGGTCTGACTAGAAGTCCGAATTCAGAGTGCTGGATCTAGGGAGAAGGCTTTCATTGGGGCATTGGCCCTGAAGGAAGGTCCTGATCTCTTCAGAGCTGCTGTTCCTCTGTGGTCCTCATGTGGCTTAGCAGCTGTCTTCCCCCAACTCTGCTTTTTCTGCTGTTTGATTATCTGTTCTTTTATATCTCAAGAGAGATTGATTTAAGACACACCCTACACTAATAGTGTATTGTTAACATAACAAAGAAACCCAATTACCAACAGAGATTGTAACTACAAGTCTAGTAGGATTTACAACCTATATGGGGTGGCTGAGGGGCTGAGCACAATTCAACCTGTAATACTCTATGAGCCTCATAAACAATAAAACTGGCTTGCATTATACTATAATAAAATTATGTTTAAAGTTACCTGGCACAAAGCAGACTTACAGTACATTATAAATATTATTAGTAGAAAGATTATAAGTTTGGAAGTCAGATAAACATGGTGTGAATCTTGCTCTGCCAGTTAGTGGCTGTAGGGTCTTGGAACAGTCACTTTATCTTTCTGTTCTTACATAAGAACAACATCACAAAGCATCTCAATAGACAATGAGGACTCCTGGTGTGGCGCTGTAGGATCAGCACTACCACAAGGTTGGCAGTTCAAACTCACCAGTTGCTCTGCAGAAATCCTATAAAAGGTCTTTATGAGTCAGAACCGACTCAATGGCACTTAACAACAAAAGCTGATAAAGGTACCCTGGTGGCATACTGGTTAAAGTGCTCGGTTGCTAACTGGAAAGGTCAGTGGTTCAAACCCACTAGCTTCTTTGTGGTAGCAAGATGTGGAAGCTTGCTTCTGTAAAGACTTTTAGCCTTGGAACACTGTGAGGCATTTCCTCTCTGTTTTATAGGGTCACTATAAGTAGGAATCAACTTAATGGCTGTGGGTTTGGGATTTTATAGGCAAAGAAAGCATGCCAGAAAGACGTGGACTACGCTGATGAAAACTACATACAAACCCTTCAAAATATACTAAAATAAAGAAAATAATAAAAGAAAGAACAATATCAATTATTATTTTAAAACTCAAAACTTAGTTGTTAAAATAGCATTTAGGGAATACATAGAAATAAAGAAAAATCTCTCTAGAAATCAAGATTAAACTAGAAGGAACTCAAGAGCAAAGAAACACAATAGGAACCACAAAGAAAGAACAGTTTTTAATCAAAAAAGAATAAAGAAAGAAACGGGATTTTTTTTTAAATTGACAAATAGAGAAGATAGGCAAAGAAGAACTACCATATGAATAATAAGAGTCTCTGAAGAATCTGGACTCTCATTCTAAACCACCTATAACTCTGTCTCATAAAGAACATAAAGAACAGGGATGTAAAAGTTATTGTGTTTTTTATGATTATAAATGATGGCTTTTATTAGAAAGTTGGACAGGTTTCCAATATAATGTAAGAATAAGAAATATATATAAATTATTCCATTCATGAACACTAATTCTAAGGAGTTTTAAGTTTAAAAATTACACTTTGAATTACAAAAATACATCAATTTAAAATGCATAGTGTGAAAAAAAAATCTCATGTCATTTCTCCATTCCATTAGCAAAAATAAGAATCTGATATGGTTTCAATAACTTTTAATGGAAACTATTCTTTTTATTTGTTGAAAATTACCCCAAAATTATAAAATTAGCCATTGTTTTCCTAAAGTTTTCATTTCAAAATTTTTACTGTCATGTTGTTATCATTAAGTGCCATCGAGTAGGGTCCAACTTTTAACTGTTTAGTGTTTCCGAGGAGCATCTGGTGGGACTGAAGCACTGACCTAGCAGTTAGCAGTCCAGTGTTTATC